GTCCCAGCAGAGCAGACGCAAGCGGCCGCTCTGAAAAAGAGCGAGACCCTGGCGCTCCTCAGGCTCTGCTGGGGTGTTGGCACCTTTCCTCCCCTCGGTGCTATCAGTGCTCTGCTCTCCTCCTCCCGTGCAGACACCAGGCTTCAGAGAAAGAGACCCTGTGCCATATTACTTACGGCGTGCAAAGCCGTTAGACGCAAAGCACGGAAAGCAAAGGGGCCCATCGGCACCGTCGATGTCCCCCCCCGGCAGGTGACCGCAGAGCCCGGGAGGTGCCACCTTACCTTTGCACAGGAGCGGGTCCTTTGCCTGCCTAATTTGCCTCCTTAGAACAACCACTTCAACACTCCGGCTGCTTCAGACCCCTCCAAAGATCGCCTGGCCTGCAAGCCCTTCTCAGCTAGCAACACAGCTGAAATACGGCGCTGGTGGAAATCTAGCTGTCCTCTTCCTTTGATGACAAAAGGCTTTTCTAACTTGAACCCCTGATGGTTTGGGCAGCGAGGCTGCGAGGGGGAGAAACCTGTTGCAGGCACCGGGTATCCCTGCACAGCAAGGTGTGCTATCCTGCACAGAGGTAGGCGCAGGAGCACCTCGATCTGCATGGTGGCTCTTAGGAAAGGCGTTATCAATGAGGTCAACATGGAGAGGGAAGTCAGGGAAAGAAAGATGCCCATAGTGAGACAGAGCTGTTTTCCCTCAGGCCCTGGAATAATGCTTCTGCTTGGCCAACAGAGGAGGAGGACCCTGCAGGCTTATGCCCAGCTGCATATGGACTGACTTGAGTCCATTGTGAGGCTGGGCTCCTGCAACCGTCATGTCTCCCCTCCCTGCCTGCTTTTGTTCTGGCAGGGATCTCTCCCCCGGTTTTCATCTGCTGTGGTTATAGGGCTGCACTTCTGTCTGTCCCTCTGCCCAGCCACGGCTCAAGGGTCAACACAGCAATGAGGGTGAGCATCCTTTGGGGCCACCTCTGACTTTTTGGTCTTACTCTTGTTCCCACAGGGAGAAAATGCTTGTGAGTAGTTTGACTCCCAGGTGGGATTGATGGGCCCTCTGGCTTATGACTCACTGGCTGTGTCCTGCTGTTAGGCAGGGTCCTGCCTCAGCCACCTTCTCTGAATACAGGGTAAGGAGGGAGGGCACTTCCCAGCCTTGCTCAGCCTGATCTTCCCTTGTTTACCTACCCATCAACACCAAGATCACGCAGGGCCTGGGCTCTATACACAGAAGAGAAAGGGATAGGCAACAAGCTTGGCTGGTCTCTTACACACACCATGTTGTCTCTTTTCTCCATGTCACAAAGGATCTCTGAAAGAAGGTGCTGGAGTCCAACCTCCTCAGGGGTATCTTTCTTTGTGGTGGGGAGACAGGGCAGTTGCCCACTGGTATCTGAGAGCAGGACATTGTAATGAACATCAGGGACAAACACCCTCCAAGTCTGTTGGCGAGAGAAAGGATGATCACATAGCTAATTAAGGTCTCAACTGTTTTGGCAGCTGCATTCCTCTCTGCTTCCTGTCTAGTCAGGTATTTTCCCAGGTGCCTTCTCCCAGCCCATCTCTGCTAATGGAGGAACTCTCCTAACCAGGACAAGAGGAAATCTGTTCAATGCTCAGAGTCTAGGAGGAGAAATCTGAGCTGAAGGTCTAGATTTTGGTTTGAAGGCATTTTTTAAAGCCCATTTCCACTGTGTCCTGGAGGTAGGTGTTAAGGCAGGGTTTTTAAGTGATCCTTGAGGATGTGACATCTCCATGCTGTGTCCTTCCACCATCACCCATGTGGTGCCGTGAGGAAGGGGACACAGGCAAAAGGATTTCAAAGGTTTATGGGGCGTACCCTCACTCCACACAACCACAATCACAGGACAAGTCCCCAAACCATGACAAGTGCAGGAGGCCTCATCCCCCACCTTTACCTCATAAATATCTCCCCATCTGCAGCTCCTACATGCCAGAACCTGGCCCTTGACCAGGGCCACAGCCCTGGTGCAGGTCCTGTTACCACACCCACCGCCGCACCTCCTGGGACAGGGTATTCAGGAACTGCTCCAACACCATCAGACCCATGGCCTGGCTCTGCAGTCCCAGCCAGTGCTGGGGCAGCTCCTGCAAACTGCCTCCAGACACATGAAGCCCTAACCCATGAAGTTGAATGATGAACCTGGCCTCTAGCTCTTAACCGCACCCCAAAGTTCAAATTCTAACCCTCTCTAAATCCTAATCCTAAATCTAACCCTTACCCCCAAAACCCTAAACCCTAATCTGATTTTTAATTCCTAATCCTTAAACTACCAACATTAACCCAAATCCCAAACCTGACCCCAAGCCCAAACCCAAACCCCTAATTCTAACCTCAGCCTGAACCCTAACCCTTGACCGAATCCCAAATGATAACTTCACCACTTAACATCCTAACCATATTCCCTAATCCTAAACCCCTAACTCCAAACCCTCCTCCTAGCCCAGAGAAGTTGTGGAGTACCCATCCTTGGAGATACTTGAAAACCCTCATGTGCTGAATCTAAACCATAGCTCTAATTCTATCCTCCTAATTCTTCTATTCTTCTATCAAAGGGCACAGTTCCAAGATATGTTATTGTACTTTTTTTTAATCTTAACCACACAAAGAAAGCCAAGTAGGTCAGAAAACAGTTATCCCCCCTTTACAGAGATTTTCTCTCCCCCTCCCCAGTCTTCCTTCCCATAGCTTCTGACAAAGGCACATATACTGCTGGATTAGGCTCTCAAAGAACATGCTGGCTGCAGAGCCAAAAACAGTGAAATCATTAAGTAACAGTAGAACATAAACATTAAGAACAAGCCACACATCTGCAATTTCGTGTAGTGATAGCATGATGCATTGAGCAACAAATGTCATAACTGCATCTTAGCTGGGAAACATTCCAGCATCATCAGTAATGACAGCTAAGGAACAACTTGTTTTCCATAATGTCTATTAAAAAAATATCCAAAAACTCTGCTTACAAATATCCAGGATTATTACTGTGAATGTACTATGTACATGTCCTTTTCCTTATGTACATCAGGAAGATTCTGTACAGTGTGTATAGCAGCTTGCAGCAACACTGCTGGCAGCTACAACTTCTCGATGATTTCTTTAATACGTCAGCTGCACTTACAAAAATTCTTTACTTTCCTAAGAACTAAAAATAGGGGTTTTTTTCTGTATGTCAGGCGATAATATAAATGCAGTTTTACATGTAACTGACCCACAAAACTGCAGGGAACTGAGGAGTTATAACAGGTCCAGGACAGGTTCAACAGTCTTAAAAAAACCCTTTGCCTTCCTCAGTCCAAAGGGGCAGCAGAGTCATGAGACATCATGCTCATAATAATCCTATGGAGAACTGAGCAATGTTTGCCAATACCCAGGTTGTGATTCCTCGCAGAAGCTCTAAGACTGCAGACATGTACATGCCAGTGGGACCTGGTGTATAAGCCGACCTGGCACAATGTTGCCACCTACTCTAAACATGATCGCTCACTCTCTCAAGCTCCATTGACAATACTGGCTAAATCTCCCTTGACTTAGATGAAAGCCTAGACACTTTGTTCAGCATACATACGTATGTCACAGAAGCTTAAATATAAGCAAGTCCACTCTGAAGTCTTGTTACAGATCTGCAAGTTCTTCCTCCTGCACAGGAAAAACATGCCCAACTATGGCAGAGGCACTCTGCTTAACTTTCCTGCATTCTTCTTACCTTTTGGTTCTCTCTCCAGATTCAGAGGAGCTTCTGATTGCGACCTCACCTAATGTTAGTGAGCAAGATACAGTTTGCTCAGTTTCTATCCATGCTACATCACTCTTCCCATCGTGTACAAAGACACAGAGTTGTTTGTGGCAGCAATGATCTAGAGTTACCAACTTCACTCCAGTATTCACAAAACCAGCAGAATTCACAAGCCACCTTGCTGAGTTGTTTGGTTTGCTTCTTAGGTTTTCTCCCCACGAATAAAAAGAAAGACCAATAAAGGATGTCTGAAGCAACAATACTAGGATCATCTTCACATAATTTATTCAGTTGTACGACGGCGGAGTACTAGGACAACGACTGTAAAAAAGATTTGGTCTCTCAAGTAAGTCTTCTGCTTTGGGAAACTACTCAGCATATTTTCTCTGGTTACAGAAGCTGCTCCTAAGCTGTTGACTTGTTTGGTAAAGAGTTCTTTGATCACAGAAAACTGCAAACAGCAGCATTACTGACAGCGCAGCTGGGAACAGATTTGTCACTATCAACCTTAAAGACTGATTTTTCTTTTAGCTCTTGGAATCTTATGAATAAAGCTACTGCTGTAGAGACTACCAAATCCAAGCACATCTGGTACAGACAAACGTGCTGGTATTTATGATCTAATACCATGACAAGAACAGTGGAAGTTACATTCTTTTGATAGTTCTCTACATTGGTAACAGTTTGAAGCTGGTTTGTACATGTCAGAAATTCTCCACACTCCATCATCCAGTTCTGCTAGTGCTCTTCAGAAATTTAGCATCACTTTTAGTCCATTGCAAAGTGACAATCTGGGGCACAGAATAAGGAAGAAATTTGTGCCCTGAAACTTGGCCTTTAAATTTTAGGAAGTCAAGTCTAATACTGCCACCCAGATCCAGTTTTTCTGACCCTGCCCTGCATGTGGCTGAGCTTCAATATTTGTGCAGGAACATGCACTCAGCTACACAAATACAGCAGTGTCTTTCTGTTCCTACTTCCATATGTGTGTTTGTGGACATTTTGTTTCTTTTAAAGAATGCTGTCTCTCCTTTCTGGTGTGGGCACACCCTTCTGTCTATTGGCACAGTGCTTTCTCCCAGCTTGATTTATACGCTATGCCGACGGTTGTTGATCATGGCCACAATGTGTGACAGGTCCAAACTTTTCATCATAACCTCCATGAACTCCTCGTCTTTCCTTGCTCCCTCCACAAATTCATCCAGAGAAAGTTCACCTGTGTCAGACAAACAGAAGGCATCAGAATCATGCCAATCCACATTAGGACAGGAAAAGTAGCACAGTAATCTAACCTTAGAGACCGCTTACTATACATGCACTGTTCTAAAGCACAAAGAGACCTCAGAGAGTCTTATTTAAGCTTATATGAAACTTCCCTGATACCAGGCAACTCCAGCTTACTTTTTTTCCCCACACAAGGGAAAGGGTACATAAGAAAGTAGAGAGGATGTGCGTAGCTAAGGAGTGGGATCATAGCTTCCTATAAATGAGGCTGGATTAGCCACCTCCTTTTTGGCCTAACCTTTCTGTCCTGGTTTCAGCTGGGATAGAGTTAATTTTCTTCCTAGTAGCTGGCATAGCACTGTGTTTTGGATGTAGGATGAGAATAATGTTGATAACACCCTGATGGTTCAGTTGTTGCTGAGCAGGGCTTACACCAGGCAAGGACTTTTTCAGCTTCCCCTGCTCTGCCAGGGGCACAATTAGCTGGGAGAGGGCACAGCCAGGACCGCTGACCCCAAATGGCCAAAGGAATATGCCATACCTCCAGCCAACTGGAGGGAGTTTGGTGGGGGGCAGCGATCGCTGCTCAGGGACCTGGTCGTCAGTCAGCGGGTGGTGAGCAGTTGCATCACTTGTTTTTCCTGGGTTTTGTTTCTCTCTCTCTCTGGTTTTCCTTTTCCTTTTCCTTACAATATAATAATAAAGCCCGTGAGTTTTCTTACTTTTACTCTTCTGATTCTTTCCCTCATCGCACCAGGGGAGAGGGTGAGCAAGCATCTGGGTGTTGCTTGGTTGCCAACTGGGGCTAAACCACAACAGTCCTTTTTTGCACCCAACATGGGGCATGAAGGGTTTGAGATAATAACAGATTAAGCAGAGCTTATTAAGGAATTTACATCTGTTAACAATTGTGGGTCACGATATTGATCCATCTGTTCTTGATCTTAGTTTATCTGATCTGCACCATGCTCTTTTTTTTGCTGTACATGTTAAAGTTTGGTGTTGGGTTTTGCAGTTTGCTGTGCTCTGCAGTAATTATTGATGCTTTGCCTGGGAGATTTGTTATTAAACCACTGGCCTTGAGCTTCATCTGGGTTTTGTACTGAAGCCATTACTGTACTTTGGGTACCACCTCACGGAGACAATTAGCAATTATATTACTTCTTCTGAGAGGTTTTTATTGAGGAAATACAGAATGGCACCTTTGCTACCTTCTTCTATGATGTTTCCTCCTTCATTACAGCAGCTTTTCGATATCTTGAACATCCTTGGATAGTTAAGATACATCTATTGGTACTTCTTGGGAATATTGTTTTGGTTTTGTTTAAGGTTAATAAGCAATTTAAGAATATCATCCAGAGATCTACCCCAAGGGTGGATAGTTATGAGTGGCAGGGTGTGTGGGATAGCATGGGCAAATGTCTAAGACAGTGGGAATCTCCAGTGCTTTGGAACTTCACCCCTGAACAAAAGCAGAATGCGGAAAAATTAGTAGAAGATTTGGAAAAAATATGTTGTGACCCTGGCAACTCCAGAGAGACACAAATCACTGCAACGTGCTGGGGCCTCGCCCATGCCTACCGAGCCCTTTCAACACTATTCAGAACCCTCAAGGGGAAGAGAAGGTCTCTGGATCTGACAACAAAACGACAGGCACTGCAGCTACTCCAACCCTAGACTAATATAATGAATGCTTATCACAAATTTGTTTTAACATGCTCTGGTCAGATATGCCATTATCTCGAACCCTTTGGGCCCCTAAAGGACTGTTGTGGTTTAACCCGGCAGGCAGCTAAACACCACATAGTCATTCGCTCACTCCTGCTCTCCCCAGTAGGATGGGGGAGAGAATCAGAAAAAAAGTAAAATCCATGAGTTGAGGTAAAGACAGTTTAACAGTAGAGGATAACAACAACAACAACAACAACAATAACAATAATAATAACAATAACAGAATATATAAAACAAGTGATGCACAACGCAATTGCTCACCACCCACTGACTGATGAACAGCCTGTGCCCAAGCAGCGATCGCTCTCCCTGAGCATGACACCATATGGTATGGAATAGCCCTTGGGCCAGCTGGGGTCAGCAGTCCTGGCTGTGCTCCCTCCCCGCTTCTCATGCACCTGTCAGCGCAGGGGGAGCTGAAAAGTCCTTGACTGGTGTAAGCCCTGCTCAGCAACAACTGAACCATCAGGGTGTTATTAACATTATTCTAGTACTAAGTCTAAAACACAGTGCTATGCCAGCTACTAGGAAGAAAATTAACTCTATCCCAGCCAAAACCAATGTCAGCCCACAAGTTTTCTTACTTTTACTCTTCCAGTTCTCTCCTCCAACCCACTGAGGCAGGGGTGAAGGTGATTGAGCGGCTGTGTGGTGCTTGGTTGCCAACTGACACTAAACCACAACACTGTCATAGTCCTAACCTGCCCCATACTTGCTGGTCTTTATGTTTAAAAGAAGTAACAGAAGGAAGCTGTGACAGGCAGAAATAGGCTCTCTATCCTAGGCCAAAAAACCTTTGCGCACAGAACACAGCTGAGAGTACAGGGAACAGATCCTTTCATACTGATTATGTATGATGCAAGGAGAAAAATGACTTGGCAAAATTCTTGGAGAATGCATTACTGGATGAGAATTCATGTAACAAGCAAATATAAAATAAAGAGGCATAAAGTTCAATCAAGAAAGTAAGACATGGATGTCTATAGCACAGAGACCATCTGAGTTGGATGACAAAGACAGAAACCTTACCATCTCCATTCACATCAATTTTGTTGAAGACTCGGTTGGTGAACTCTTCTGCACTAGTTTCATGGTCACCACCATTAATAGCTCGAATAGCCTAAAAGAAAAGAGCAAGAATAGGAAGCTGCCTAATAGCTCCGAAAATGATAGGCTGATACCACTGCAGCCTGTCAGCGTAGATTCAGAACAAGACAGTCATGCCTGGTACCTTCCCCATACAAATGAACCAGCATCATAGGAAAACACAGCAGAAATCATCAGGCCTTACAGTTGGCACTGAAGGGTGCAAAAGTTATGGAGCATGGAATGAGCAGTGAAACCCAGAGGATCACCCTAAATCTGCCTAAGTAGAGGTTAAGCAGTGCAGAAATGGCAGAATCAGGATCCACCTAATTGATCCACTTTCTAGTACCCTGCGGTCCACTAAGCCCAATAAACACTGTCAAACACCCTTTGCATTTTACATTATTAAATTCCTTTGTTATATGCTATGATCATTTATTTCTATTCTTGCTTTCTCTATTTCTATTTGTATACTGCTTCGTGTATGCCCTGCTTCTCCCTAAAGCTCACTGGAAATTCATTTTCAGCTTCAGAAAGTTTAAGCATTGTTCACTACTGTTCACTACAGTTAATCTTACTCATAACCACATAGTGCAGCGTTCTCTTTTCTTTCCATGCTTAACTGTTTCTTTTGTTAAAGGATGTCCATGAAATATGTGATTCCAGAGCCCTCACATTGATTCTAAGACTATTCATTTTCTAGATTTTACCTTCTGATATTTGGTAAGTATCCTCATTCTTTTTCAAATCCCATTTTATGGCATACTAAAACTAAGTTTCACCTCAGCAACTTCCTAAGGCTGCCAAAAAAGACAAATGAGAACGCATTACTAACATCTTATTAGTGGTATTATTTGTAGACAGCTCAGGCTTCAAATCTTTATCAAATAATTTTCTGACCTTTCTTATTCAGAAATGTAAATTATTTAGGGTCATTGAATCTTTCCTGCATCTTTCTAGTTTCCCAGTCTCTGCAGAATAATCTGAATTTCCAGCATAATTAATCCTGAGATATTCATAAGGTCATGTTTATGCATGTAATTCCAATACCTTCCACAATAGCTATTTGCATACAATATTTTCCATTGACAGTCATTCTCCTTCAAACTATTTGCCAGAGTCAGAAATGTTTCATTACATTGACATTAGTAGCTAAAGTCTTATTTGTGTGGTGGAATTTAAGGAAAGAGGAAAGAACACAGACCCCTGGAGACTCACCTTAATGATGTTGAGCAATTCATGTCGATCAATGCAGCCATTGCCATCTACATCATAAAGCTTGAAATACCACCGCAATTTCTGCTCCATCTTCCCACGGAGAACGAGGCTGAGGGCAGCCACATATTCCATGAAGTCAATATATCCATCCTGTGGGAAAACAAAAAACAAACTGTGACAGGAACAAATTGAGGGAGTTATGGTTCTGGAGCTGTTTTACCTTATTACTCTTTAGATTCACAGCTAAAAGAGAAAGAAATACAGATGGTACAGCAGCTTGGACTTAGGAGAAAGCTTTCGTGTACGCACACACTATTTCTCTGGCCAGCTTTAGAATCTCCTAAATACCTGGATTCCTAAAGTTATGATCTGTTACATGTCTAGGATACTCTGTGCTCGCCACCTGCAGAGATGCAACCTGTCACTCCTCTTGGCCAGTGTAAATGACCCCCTCTCTGTCCACCAGAGCTGACTGCCTATGGCCTGCTGGGAGAGAAAATTGATCCAGAGCCCTGGCTGCAAGAAAAGTGGAAGGTAATTCTACCTTGGGTTTTCTGTACTAGTCTGCTTTGTCTTTGTGGGAAACTACTGCTATTTCAGTAAGCCATGGATCTCTTTTCCATTCTCTGAAAAAAAAGTGACTGAAGATATTTTTAAAATACATAGAACATGATTTGACAGCTGGAAAAATTCTTCTGAATTTAGATTTTCAAACATTCAATTTCTTGAAACTACAAAGAAACTCAAAAATCTCTTGTTTCCTCTGCAAGAAAAATGTCAGACAGTAAAGGTTCATAATCCCTGGATTTAATACTGATTAAAATTTGAAGTGGTTAAAAAGAAATTACAAATAAAGTGCATATCTCTGCCCAAGATTCTGAATAACTACTTCAAAAAATTACAAAAGAGCAAAAAAATGAAGCTTTCATTTATTGAGGTATTTAAACAAAGTCAGATGCCTTTCTCGAATGGATGTAAATAAATATAAGTAAGACGTGAATGGAGGTGGACTAGCAGAGCACTCTGTTCTACAGCAAGGATCACAGCATTTTAAAATATTAATTCAGGATCATTGTAGTACTCCCCTTATGTGAGTTTTTCATAACTTCATTGAGCAAAGTCACAGAAAACAAGGATAACCAGTTCTAAAAGTGGGAAGGAGGGCATGATTGCAATTTATAAAACAACTGTGTTGAAAATGTATCCTCTTTGTCCTTAGCAGAGTTCTCAGTATCTGAAGGTCCAGAGGGCAGATGATTCCATCCAGCATCAATTTCTGTATTACTAGAGAGTGGCTCTTCCTCTGGGTGCTCTTGTTCCTTGCCCTTGTTTATAAAAGGAGCTTAGATTAAGTGGCTAACTATTAACAGGCTAAGATTAACGGATGTAGGTCCATCTCCACTAGTTGCCACACTTTTAATTCATTCTCCTTGAGATCACTATGTCTTTACTTAGAAGACAGCTTTTTATCTTTGCATTGCCAAATTGGAATTTGAGAGTCTTCTTAAAACACTTTACTGCATAACACGGGGCTCACAGGAGAACTTCCTGTGTAGCATAACATCCTTGAACAAATTTTAAAGTCCTTTAACATCCCACAAAATGAGAGAGGTAAACGGAAAGACTTGTGCAAGAACTGTATGCATGTTGGTTTAGTTTATAAAACTGCTTCATGGCCTCACTGGAAACAGCCTCAAGTTGTGCCAGGAGAGGTTTAGATTAGATATTACGAAAAATTGCTTTACCGAAAGGGTTGTCAAGCAGTGGAAGGGGCTGCTCAGGGAAGTGGTTGAGTCCCCATCTGTGGAGGTATTTAAAAGACGTGTAGATGTGGTGCTTAGGGACGGGGTTTAGTGGTGGGATGGCAGGGTTAGGGTAACAGTTGGACTTGATGATCTTAAAGGCCTTTTCCAACCTAAAGGATTCTGTGATTCTATGATTCTCATTACTATCATCATCCTGGGCACAGAGAACTTTAGGACGAGAAAGGATATTCTTTGAGATCTGCAGTCATTTCCAGTCATTACATCCACCTCAGCTACCCTAATGGAGCCTGGCTGCTCCTCTCTTACCTTTAAGAACTTTGTAATATTCTGTAGCATTCCTTAACTCCTTATGCCTTCTCACATGTTGTCCAAACCAATGTTCTTTGTTCAGTCCCTAGGCTTTCCTTCTTCAAAATTGCCCCTGTGATTTCCCACCTGTTTCACATGTCTCTGTGACTAGTTCCTCCTTTACTCACAGACATTTGCTCCAGCCGTCTCAGAACCTTGAAGCAGAGAGCAAAGCTGAATTTTCCCAGGCTGTCATAAAACCAAATTTCTCTTTCACTGAGGTTACAGGCCTAAAAGTATAGGCTTAAGTATATATGGATAAAAATCAGGCAAAAGTGAGGGGCATTGCGTGCTTAAAGGAATTAGGGGGGCTACTGTTTCTTACCTTAGAGACAGCCAGTGGTCGCCTGTCACAGTGAGGAATATACCTGCCTCCTACCTACTGCTATATGCCAAACCTCCTAAGCACTGAGGAGGGCCACATAGATTGTCTGCCCATGCAGTATTACTTTTAGCTGCCAAATACCTGGAAATTGCTTCCTCTGTGAATGTTATAATGATTTCTATTGTGTTTGATTCCTGTAGTCTCTATTATCTAATACAGATATATTTTTGAATAATAAGAACAAGAACATATAAAAATAATAATGAAATCTCCTTTCATTAGTGTTTTGCTAGTCAAACAAGGCCATGTCAATTAAAACACAATACAGAAGTCTCAAAATTTAAAGATGAACTTGCACAAGGTAGTTGGATGACAAAGTATTATTATCTATGGTTATATTATCTATGTCATTATCTATGCATATTAATTTGCTCCTTGCATTTAGCTGCTTTACATTAGTATCCCTCAGCAGCTTTCCACACCAATGTTTGTAAGAGAAAACCAAGGACTCTATAGAAGTGCAGGAGTTGGTTTGCTTTTAAGCAGTATGAGACAGTTAATTTCCTTGCCAGAGAACTCACCTTGTTCATATCAAACGTGCGGAACATCTGCTCAATGTACTCATTGGCCTCTGGATCCAGCCCTCGAAGCCCAAAGAACTGTTTAAATTCATGTTCCGTCAGCTGTCCAGAAGGACACTCTGTCATGAACTTTTTGTACCAGTGGTGGATCTCAACAGCCTGCAGATCATCCACTGTGGAGCTGCTATTGTTCCCCATGCGTATGAGCGGTCAGAAGAACGATGCTACAGGAATGATCCTCTTCCTCCTGTTGCTCTCACAGTACTGCCCGTCTGCTCATGTCCACGTTCAACATTAGTGTCAGGTAAGTGAGGGATCTAACTTTCCACAAGCCAATTATAAATGTTAATCTGCTTAGAGGCTGATTTACAAACCTGAAAGTTTCAGTGATACAAACAGTCTTGGAATGGAAAGGAGGTGCAAGATAATCTAGCAAATCACTGCTATTTCAGGAGCCAAATCAGAAAGGGTGAGAAGGTTAATCAGACACTGGCATCAGGAGTTATACTGGTTATACACACTTTTAACCTGGTTATATACACTTTTAACCTTGATATAATTGTACATGAAGATAAGAGGAAAGGGCTACAGGATGTGGGATTTGAGGTGAAGTAAAGATCTGCTCCTCTAACTGAATTTGAGAGTCTGTTTTCTTAAATAGAAATTTTGGATAACTTGGTGTATAGAACCAGAAAGTGTTACAGTAGTAGCCCATCATAAATGTTAGGGCATGTGGAAAAAAGCTCATCGCCACACACACAAAGGGGCATAGAGGAACAATGGCAGGTGGCGGAACCCAAATAATCCCCTGATCTGTGAACGACTATAGACATGCAATCAACCTATAAAAGGCTCATCCGCATAAACAAGAAGGAGCAAAAGGAGACAACCACAGACTGGGGAACCCAAATAACCCAGTAAGAGAAATGAAGCCCCTGACCCAGCTCCTTCGAAGGCTGTCAGAGGGGAGCCATCAGCTCCATGGGCCTGGAGGTGACACCCACCACAGTGAGTCAATGGGAGAGGTTGTCAGAGTACCTTACAGACTGAGTGGGGTTACTGCCTAGGGGTATGGAAAACATTGTGGGGTGCAGGGGAAGAGCATTTGGGGATGCACAAGACTTATAATGGGATGTTTAGGGGAGGAACTTTCCTGGTTTCAGTTGGGATAGAGTTAATTTTCTTCCTAGTAGCTGACATAGTGCTGTGGTTTGGATTTTGTATGGGAAGTTGATAACACACTGATGTTTTAATTGTTGCTAATAAGTACTTACACCAGGCAAGGACTTTTTCAGCTTCCCCTGTTCTGTCAGGTGCACAAGAAGCTGGAAGGGGGCACAGCCAGGACAGCCGACCCCAACTGGCCAAAAGGGTATTCCATACCATATGACATCATGCTCAGTATAGAAACTGGCGGGGGGGAGTTGGCTGTGGGGGAATGATCACTGCTCAAGGATGGGCTGGTCATCGGTCAGCGAGTGGTGAGCAATTGCAGTCTGCATCACTTATCTTGTATATTCTTTTATCATCAGCATCATCATTATTATTGTTGTTGTTATTGTTACTGTCATTATTTTCCTCTGCTGTTTTATTAAGCTGTCTTTTCCTCAACCCACGGATTTTACTTTTTTTCTGATTCTCTCCCCCATCCTACTGGGGAGAGCGGGAGTGAGCGAATGACTGTGTGGTGTTTAGCTGCCTGCCGGGTTAAACCACAACAGTCCTTTAGGGGCCCAAAGGGTTCAAGATAATGGCATATCTGATCAGAGCATGTTAAAACAAATTTGTGATAAGCATTCATTATATTAGTGTAAGAGTTGCTGGTTGCAGGGTTGATTTATTCGCTCTCAGAGTTGTACTGTGTAACACCTTACCTGCTGTATGCACTCCCTGTGGTGCTATTTATCACCTCTGGCAGGTGGATTAAAGTTATTGCTTTGCTGTACTGTGTAACACTAGTTTATGGTATGATATAGTCATCGGTCATGAAATTGTACTCAGCAGCGCCGTCATACCCGTACTTTGGGAGAAAAGGAGCCTTCTCTAGGCTAAACAACCCCAACTCTCTCAGCCTGTCCTCGTAAGGGAGGTACTCCAGCCCCCTGATCATCTTTTGTGGCGCTCCTCTGGATCTGCTTGAGCAGGTCCATGCCTTTCTTATGCTGGGGCACCCAGAGCTGAACATAGTACTCCAGGTAGGATCTCACAAAAGCATTGCAGAGTGAGAGAAACACCTCCCTCAATACGATCACCATGCTTCTTTTGATGCAACCCAGGATACAGTTGGCTTTCTGGGCTGTGAGTGCATGTTGCTGGCCTGTATCAGTTTTTCATCCACCAATACACCCAAGTCCTTCTCCACAGGGCTGCCCCTCAATCCACTCGTTACCTCGAATCATAGAATCATTTAGGTTGGAAAAGACCTTTAAGCTCCCCCAACCCAACCGTTACCCTAACCCTGCCATCCCACGCCCAAACCCTGTCTTGGGAGAAGAGACCAACACCCGCCTGGCTACACCCTCCTTTCAGGTAGGTGTAGAGGGGGATAAGGTCTCCTCTCAGCCTCCTCTTCTCCAGGCTGAACACCCCCAGTTCCCTCAGCTGCTCCTTGTAAGACTTGTGCTCCGGACCCTTCACCAGCTTTGTCCACCAGCTCTGGACATGTTCCAGCAATGCAACAGCTTTCTTGTAGTGAGGGACCCAAAACTGAACACAGTATTCAAGGGGCGGCCCCCCCAGTGCCCAGGACAGGGGCACGGTCACTGCCCTGCTCCTGCTGGCCACACTATTCCTGATACAAGCCAGGATGCCATTGGCCTTCTTGGCCACCTGGGCACACTGCTGGCTCATATTCAGCCGCCTGGTGACCAACACCCCAAGGTCCTTTTCCGCCGGGCAGCTTTCCAGCCACTCTTCCCCAAGCCTGGAGCGTTGCATGGGGTTGTTGTGACCTGTATCCATGTTTGGGATTGCCCCAACCCAGGTGCAGGACCTTGCTCTTGGCCTTGTTGAACTTCATGAGGTTGCATGGGCCCACCTCTCTAGCCTGTCAATGTCCCTCTGGATGTTATCCCTTCCCTCTAGAGTATCAACCACACCACTTCACATATATATGTAAAGCCAAGATTTTATTGTTAGTAAAATACAAGTTTTAACAGTCTAGTTCAAGAGTCATTATTCTTCTAATTAATTAGATCTAATTACAGAAAAGCAAAGAAAAATAATGTAGGTCTAGTACTTATGTACAGGAAAAAAGTTGCACTGATAGCAATAATACAATTAATATTGCAACACACACACACTTGGTTTCTGTGCCTTTTCTGGTGTTACACTCACCTGACTGCTGCTCCTCTGGATATTAAGATCTGTGTTTCACTCTGATGTTTGCAGTGGCAGGGTGTCATGGCAACTTGTCAGCATCTGGAATCCTTCACTGAGAGGAATGTGATGTTCTTGTGAGTGGTTTCCTCATCCTCTCTTCTTTTTTTTTTTTTCTCCTTTCTTCTCTTTCCTTCCACTTAGGCTCACATACATATGTTTGCTAACATAAATTCACACCTTTCTCTTTCTTTTTACATTTACATTTGAATTTACTATATATGGTGCCCCATATATATCTTAGATATGTTTACTTTGTTACCCCTAAAAGCTGTTTTGTCCAGCTCTGGGTCTGCATTTTTTAAACTATTTAGTTTAAAAATTGTTTAAAAATGGTTTAATTAAAAGTTAGTTGTTTATAACCATGGGGTCTCCAGCACAAAGCCTGGGCCCCATCTCTTATCATCCCATGTCTGTTCTCATCTATGCCAAATCCTGTGTCTCCACTTTTCAAGACCTCAGCCGTTCTACCAGGCCTGTATTTCTCTGCTCTACACCACTGTGTTAGAGCTGTAAATATCTCATTCTACTCAGAATAACTGCTGGCTAATACTACCTATATAAAACCATGGTTGTGCCACACAAGAATATATAAGTAAAATAAATCAGCCATAGACACCTGATAATTAGAGAAATTTCTCTCACAGCTAAACCAAGTGTAACAAAGCTGCAGGCAGGTCATGAAAAACTGAGAGCAGGCCTGGTAAGCCTTAGTCCTGAGGCCTTGCAAACTCAGTACAGAGCCTATGGCAATAGCCAATGACAGGACTGCATGGTCGTATCTGAAGCAAGAATATGAGTGCAATCGAATGTATATGCTAACACACGATGAAGACAGACGGGAGGTGAGGGAGGTTGCACTTCTCAGACTTCATAAAGTCTTCATGAACTTCATGAAGTTCAAAAAAGCCAAGTGCAAGGCCCTACACCTGGGCTGTGGCAATCCCCAGTACCATCACAGACAAGGAGGTGAATGGATTGAGAGGAGGCCTGAGGAGAATGACTCGGGGATCCTGGTAAATGAAAAATTGGACAGGAGCCGGCAATGCACAGTTGCAGCCCAGAAAGCCAGCCATATCCTGGGCTGCATCAAAAGGAGCATGGGCAGCAGGTCGAGAGAGATGATTCTCACCCTCTGCTCTGCTCTTGTGAGAATCCGTCTGGAGTATTGTGTCCAGCTGCCCAGGGACCCTCAGTACAAGAAGGACGTGGACCTGTCAGAAGTAGATCCAGAGGAGGCCATGGAGGCAAGTCAGAGGGCTGGAACACCTCTCCTACAAAGAAAGGCTGAGAGAGTTGACGTTGTTCAGCCCAAAGAAGGCTCCAGGGACACCCTACTGCAACTTTTCAGTATATAAAGGGGGCTTAGAAGAAAGACAAAGACGTTTCTTTACCAAGGCCTGTAGTGACAGGCCAAGGGTTTTAAACTGAAAAAGCACAGGCTTGGATTAGACAGCTCTAAAAGCACTCGAGGTCAGAATGGATAGGGCTCTGAGCGACCTAATCTGGTGCAAGCTGTCCCAGCCCGCGGCAGGGGGCTGACTGGATGACCCTTACAGGTCCGCTCCCACCCAAACCATTCTGTGACCCCGCAGCACTCAC